CAGGAGGCTCCAGACTTTGAGCTGTCAGCACAGAGCCCGATATAGGGCTCGAACCCATAAACTGTGAGATCATGAACCAAGCTGAAGCCAAAGGTCCAACAGCTGAGCCATCCAGGTGCCCCTGTATTTAACTTTTTGACTTACTATTTTGAACAGCTTTTAAGAAACAGCATTCCATCTTTTCCTTGAAGGCTTCATAGAAACTATTCATTAAGCTGTTTTGTCTGGGTAGATGCTTTTGGAAGTAGTGGCTGCAAAGGGAATAGATCTCTTCTCAAATCAGGTTGCATATGTTTTTCTAGGAAGTAACTGTAAGTTATTAGAATATAGTTGTATATGCTGTTCTCGTTGTTTAAAGAAATTTGCTTAGTGTTTGTGTTCTTTAATGTTCTTTTTCTCATTCTCAACACTATGTTTTCTTTCACTTTTTTGGACCTGACATTAGAGACTTTTCTGCTTTTGCTCTATAATTCAAGTCTTTTTTAATCCTTGATTCCTTACTCTTTTGAAGGTGTGTGTTACTTTTTTGCTTTTTAAACACTTAATTTTAAATTTTGTATTGTATAATAATAGAAGCATTGAGGGAGATGTTCTCCCAAGCTTTGGCTTATTTTATAAATTTTGAAATGTAGTATTCTCTTTATTTCTTTTATTAAAAAATTTTTTTTTTTTTATTTTTCAAGTTTATTTTTGACAGAGACAGCGGGAAGGGACAGAGGGGGAGAATCCCAGGCAAGTTCAACACTGTTGGGGCTTTGAACTCACGAACCTTGAGATCATGACCTGAACCAAAATAAAAAATCAGATGCTTAACTGACTGAGCCACCAGATACCCCTTTATTATTTCTTTTAATAGTTGATTTTCAGTTTCAGTTCTTTCAGTCTCGGAGTTATTGTGTTGTAAGGAAGAGATCCACATACAGTCTCTCAGGTCAAAGACATTTAATTATAGGGAAAACATGAATTCACAGGAATACAGTGCTGCAAACTAAGGCCTTCTATGACCTCTGAAATGGAGAGGAATTGGAGCATCTTTCTGATTTGTCACATAGCTTCTCTTATGACTTGGTCACTCCTCGGATGTATTGATATATATCTGGTAGTTTTTCTTTATCCATTCCTACTTATAAACAAAGATGTAAGTTGTTTTAATATTGTAGTTGGGGAGCACCTGGGTGGCTCAGCCTATTAAGTGCCTGACTTTGACTCATGTCATGATCTCTCAGTTTGTGAGTTCAAGCCCCACATTGGGTTTTCTGCGGGCAGTGCGGAGCCTGCTTTGGATCCTCTGTCCTCCTCTATCTTGGCCACTCCTTCACTCGTTCATTTTCTCTCTCTCAAAAATAAACATTTAAAAAAATTGTAGTTGGGATAGACGGTGTTAATAATGTGATTTATCAATTTCCCACAGCAGCTCCTTTCCCTACCCTATATTATACATTCTGACAGATGGAGGATCTACAGAGTTGGTGTTGATCTTTACCATGGCTTCCAACCTATTAGAATTTCCCCCAAATTCTGAACTACTTGTGCACTTTCTATCTTGTGTTTAAGAGTTAAGGAGCAGGGCCGTCTGGGTGGCTCAGACAGTTGAGTGTCAGACTCTTGATTTCAACTCAGGTCATGATCTCACAGTTTGTGAGTTCAAGCCTTGTGTTGGTCTCCATTCTGGAAGTATGGAGCCTGCTTGGGATGCATTCATATTCTCTCTCTCTCTCTCTCTCTCTCTCTCTCTGTCCCTCCCTCCCTCGTTTTTCTCTGCACTTCCCCTGCTTTCTCTCTCCCAAAAAAATAAACCTAAAAAAAAAAGTTGAAGAGCATTCTTACTCATTGGGTATTGCATGTAACTATCATACTTACTTCCTTAATGAGGTATTTTCTAAATGTAGCACTTTTCAACTTGCCTTGACTCCTGTAGTTCCAATTTTATAATGCCTCAGCTTTAATTTTTAAAATAATTTTGTTACTTTAATTTGATAAATAAGGTTGACTTAAAGTTCTGGTCTTAATTTATACTAGCTTTTCTTTAGAAATCCAGATTGTTTATGTATCTTTTTAAAAATTAGTCATGCCAACATATTTCTCTCTAGTTCATAGAATTTCCTTAAAATCGATTAGCAAGCATTTATTGAATTTCTTTTGTGTAGAGCATATAGCAATTGTCATTGAACTCTTAGAAGACAGACTTTGGGAGGAAGCAGGGTAGACTGGATAAAGTCCACTTGAAAAAAGTTACACTAAAAATTATACTAAAGATATAGACATTAGAAGTTGGTGGAGAAAAAGAACTAAAATCCATTCTTGGTAGTATTCATAGCAGGCTTACCTTACGTGGTACCAAAAAAAAAAAAAAAGGCATCTCTTTAAGAAGAAATGGGATCCAGCAAGATTTGTAAAGAAAAACATGCAGAACTTGACTTAGCTCCATAGAGAAGTATCTTAATAGCAAATGATAACTAGAGGAGAGTTTTTGTTGATGTTTGTTTTTGAATAGAAATAGATGACAGGAGGGATGAAGTGACATTTCCAACATCCTGAGTTTTGATGCCAGGACTTGACCTACGTGCAATTACTGATTGTTGTTGTGAAGTTTTCCATAATACACCATTGAACTCAAAGCCATCCTTTTTCAGCAGTACTTCATTTTTGCAGCATTTTGCAGTGTAGAGACCATCCTTTTCTGGTTTCCTTTGCCCTTCCCCAGACCAAAGGATTTTTTTCTTTTTCTTTTCTTTTCCTTTTTTTTTTTTTTTTTTGCAGAATTTCCTAATTCCACATTCATGTTCTGAGTTCTTATCTCTTTCTTCCTTTTTGTTGATATATTTACAGTAGTTAATAGAGCTAATTGCATTAGCATTCTTTGCCAGATAAAGTTACCATTGGAAAGTAAATGATGTGAGACCTCCCAGAAATTCAGTTTTGAGAGCACAGCTTAGGGTGACTTTGTGTTCTTTTTTGTCATTTCTGTAAAACAAGTCTCCTTAAAACAAGGAATATCTGAAAATAAGGAGGGAAACAAAATAATGAATTTGGAGTTATATTTCTTTAGAAAGTATCACAGATGTGTATCTGTGTGACTGCCTTTGTTAGCATTCTCATGAGTTAATGCTGCTTACGCTCCTGTAATAACACATGCCAACTTGAAGTATTAGGATTGGGGACTTTGGGAAAGGTGCACTGCGTTCTTGCTTGGGAAGGTGCTTGGGAAAGCTGTCCTGGTCCTTTTTATACATGAAACCTTGAGTAAACTGTAACTTGACATAGGCCAAGAATGTTCTTGTTTTTCATCATTGTTGCCCATAGCATTGGGGTAAGATAGATAAAATCCTTATTTTAACATACGGAGGAAATGAAGTGAGGTGAAGTGTAAAGGCCATGGTATATGTTGCTGTTAGAGTGTGATTTAGAGCTGCGTGGTTCAGTGTGGGAACCGCTGGCCACTGAGACTCCGAAGCACTTGAAGTTTGTTAGTCCAAACAGAGATATGCTCCAAGTGTAAAATATACTGATTTGAAGACTTAGTGTTAAAAAAGTGGATTATTTTTAAACCACAAAAATTGATTACATGGTGAAATAATATTTTTGATATACTGGGCTAAATAAAGCATATTAAGATTTTAGTGTTTATTGTAGCCACTAGAAGATTTAGAATTAAATATGTGGCTCCTATTTCTATTGGACAGTGCTAGTTGAATATAAAAAGTGGTTGCTAGGATTACAATTTCATGTTCTCTGATTTACACAATATAAAATACAGAGATATATGAAGGAGAATTATGATACAGCTTGTACATGCAGAGTACTTGGATATATTTAAATTTGTGTGCATTTTAGAAAACTAGCAAGTATCATTCTTGACAACTATTTAAAAGCCAACCAGAGTTTAAACAGCTGCTTCTGGGCTGTCTGTGAAACTTAAAAAGTGCAAAACTGAGGACCTACATGAATCAGTACCTGCCGTAGATATTGCCCCTGCACACCTACCAGATTGAGAAGGAATCCCAGGTGGCTGTGGAGTGTGTAGCACTGAGGAGGCAAGGTGGGAGAATTATCCTTAGGATTGTTTTGTGAGGATCAGTTCCGGGTCTTACTCTTCTTTCTGACCACCACTTGGGTACCAGTAAATCTGACCCGAGTGTGGTTTAACCTCCAAGTTCTGAAACTCACTAAATAGATGGATGTAAGAGGCAGCAAGTTATTAAAAGTATTTGCTAGGTTTTGTTAATAAGTAGATGATGAGATGTGAAGCAGGAACTGCTTGTAAGCTTCATTTTATACCCAAGAACAAGTCAGCAGAGTGGCCTGGGGAGAATCTTGCCCTTTGGGATTTATGACCAATCCTTTCCTTGCTCGTTAAAGCTCTTTTTCTCATTGGATACTCAGCTCGGGATTTCACTTGTTTTAGAAGTATGCTAAATAAGATGCGTGTATTTAAAAGTAACTTATTCTCGATGTGGTCTGTTCCTTAATCATTTGAGTTGGGGTGAAAAATTCATTGGATTTTGGATCACAATTTTGTCTTGATTTTGTAGATTTACTGCTTAACCTCAGAAGTTATGCCTATAGTTTTGCAAAAATCTGATCTTCTGTTTGGTTAATTTATGACAGTACTGTAAGAGACATTACAATGTGTGCTAATAGGGCTTACTTTTGAAAAGAAAATTTCATTGGTTATAAATTTCATAGTTATAAAATAAATAGGGGTTTACACTTGAGCATAATCAGATAGTGAGGAGGTTAGTAGAAACTGATAGACCCTAGATTATCAAGATTAAGAATACAGCAAAACATAACACCGTAACTTGAATGTAACTTGGGCAGGCAGTGACTCTATAAATAGGATCAGTTCTAAGTGGTATGTGAAAATGCTGTTACTGGCATATACCGGTTGATAAAATGCTGGTAAAACCAGATTTTACAGTCTGTCTTAGTTGGATGGGGTTTTCATAAGATTGAGGATGACTCTTCGCTTATGTCCTTTTTTTTTTTTTTCCTTTCAGAATATGGTTTCTAGCTTTAGGGTTTCTGAACTACAAGTGTTACTAGGCTTTGCTGGACGGAATAAAAGTGGACGCAAGCATGACCTCCTGATGAGGGCGTTGCATTTATTGAAGAGTGGCTGCAGCCCTGCCGTTCAGATTAAAATCCGAGAATTGTACAGACGCCGATATCCACGGACTCTGGAAGGACTTTCTGATTTGTCCACAATCAAGTCTTCGGTTTTCACATTGGACGGTAGCTCATCACCTGTAGAGCCTGACTTGGCCGTGGCTGGAATCCACTCGTTGCCTTCCACTTCAGTTACACCTCACTCGCCGTCCTCTCCTGTTGGTTCTGTGCTGCTTCAAGATACTAAGCCCACGTTTGAGATGCAGCAGCCATCTCCCCCGATTCCTCCTGTCCATCCTGATGTGCAGTTAAAAAACTTGCCCTTTTATGATGTCCTTGATGTTCTCATCAAGCCCACGAGTTTAGGTAAGTGTTAGAGAAATCAAGTCCTTGTAGACGAGAGAATAAATAAAGCAAGCGGCTTTCAACTATTGACTAATGATTTGCTGTTAATACCATAAAATTGAGACATTACTGCCAAATAAATCCCAGATAAGTAATATTGGCAACCATGACTGAAATCTAATATAAAACTGTTAATTCATCGTACCAGCATTCTTATGGCTTAGAACTCAGATTGCTTCTGTGTATATAGGAACAGTTACAAATATTACTGCCCATAATTTGTGTTTTGATAGCTTTACAGAGATTTAGTTTCTGTTTAACATAGTGTTTAAACTGCTTTCCTAAGGAATAAACCTTTTTTATACTTCATTTTTTTTAATTGGTACACAGAGTTTAGCTTTTTGTTTAATATTGATCTACTGCTCAGAAAATTTAATGGATTTTATTATTACTAAAATTGATACATGGGACTTTAACAAATTTTTACCAACATTGATGACTTCTTTGTTGTAATGGTATGATTTTTTTTTTTAAATCGCCTAATGTAATTATCTGTAGAGGTATTGGGATTTATGATAAAATAAATTGTTTGGGAGATGGCATTTCATAGTTAATTTGAGAGGTTTTTTTTCCCCCATCCTGGGCAAAACTCTTTTTAATTCAAGTTATCTCACAATTCTCTTAAATATATGTGTGTGCTTTTTTCCTTTTGTTAAGGATTAAGCTGTTCTAGATCTTGGTTGAGCCAGAAGGAAATTTTGAGAGGTAGAGCTCATTAATGGGGTCAGTATGGCCTGATTGGTGGTGGTAAGCTTTTCCCAGCCCCTCTCTCCTCACTGTATTTCTTTCTTTCTTTCTTTCTTTCTTTCTTTCTTTCTTTCTTTCTTTCTTTCTTTCTTTCTTTCTTTCTTTCTTTCTTTCCTTCCTTCCTTCCTTCCTTCCTTCCTTCCTTCCTTCCTTCCTTCCTTCCTTCT